GGGCAATATCCGGATCAATTGACACTAAAAGCCTGGAACCTGGGCAACGCCTGAAAAAGAATACGTGGACTCTAGCGCTATCCACTGAAAAAAAATTGGCACCAGGCAATCCACCAAAGGAAAACATATCCTAAATCAGTGTATGATTCCAACTTTAGACTCTTTGAGTGGCTCCTTATTTATAATACTACCCAATCGCATCGGAAATATATTGACTGGTTTGCAGACAAACAATTCTAACGCCAATTGCGCGACGGGCACGTACGGATCTTCGCACTCACTTTACATTTTCAGGCTCCATGGCTACCGCGACAAGGTCCTCTAAGCAGCGCACGCACATCATGCGAGAGAAGCGTGATGCTCTCCAGCTTGCATCTGAAATCGGTGCTTAGCCTGCCGCCGACTTCCTGGGTTACCCTCTACGCACCGTCACCCACCGTGATGGAGCGTGATGGGCAGAAAATGGACTCACGCTGAGCAGACTGAGTAGCTCAGCATGAGTCCATCTTCAGCTTCAAAGGAGCGCAAACAAGCAAGACGCTGAAAGGCCGAAGCCGAAAGGAAACGATTCCATTACTCATGGACTCCTAATCCTCATGAAGGATATGCGTCGTGACGAAGACGAATGTTCGCTACTATTGCTGCTATTTTACTATTAATCAAACATGTTAAAAAAATTGTACCCAAGGTGCATTACCATGATGCTAGAGTATATACGAACAAACCACAAACGCTGATTTAGCAACTACGTGGCGGGTAAGAAGACTATCTTTTCTGCTGACAATGCGATCATGCGCTTGCTTCAGCGCTTTTCCAAACGCTAATATTGCATGCTGTTTTCAATTTTCTAAAAAAAAAAGAATCTAATATGTTCTGTACTTTATTTAGCCATGGTTTACATTTCACGTTGCTCAACACACGAAAGAAAAACCAGCGGCACATCTAGCCTAAACGTAGGTATCGTTTGCGATAGCGTATTGAAAAAAAAACACACAAAGCTGTTTTACGCACTCTATCGTCTACAACATCGACGAAACCGCCATCTAGTATTACCTCTCGCCAAAGTGTACATTAGCGTAGGAAGGTCCCAAACGACTGACCAAGGTCAGGTACACCGCAAAACATTCTGCGAGACTGACCGCTGTCCCTTTTTTGAACCGTTATCTGCTGTGTTTGAATAAAAACGCTTAGTAGAACAAAATTTATGGCTACAAAGCAGATAAGTAAAGAAACTGTAACTTTTGTTCTACTTAGCGAAACAAAAAAAAAGACTCGGTTTCGGAAATTGGTGCTACGGATACGCTGGCGTTGTAGTATCCAGTGATGTCAGGGCAAGCGATTCCACCCAGCGTGTAGTGGTATCACATATTCAACACGGCATAA